TCAGCATTAAGTTTCAAAAGTTACATCTTTACAAAATGCGGGTTAAAAGGAAGCCGCCACCCAGGCTGTGGTGGAGAAAATGGATGGCAGAGGTTGAGGAGAAGGGATTTGGGGAGAATGGTTGGGAAGCTCTTCCTACGTGAGAAAGAGGGTGGATTTTTTCTTGGACTAGCTGGTGGCAGAGGAGATGAATAAAGTGGATATTTAATAAACAATTTTCTGGCAATTTCTGGGTGGATATGTGAGAAGAGAGAGAAGGAAGGGCCAAAGACTTGGAAGTTTCTAGGTTGAGCAACTGGAGGATGGGGATTTTTTTTATTGCAGTTTGAAAGATCAGAGAAAGATCTGGTTTGAAGGAGAAAGATGAACAGTTCAGCTTTGGATGGAGTAATCTGCAAGTAGTTATAATCCTTCCTCTATCAACTCTTTGTCCTCTTCATCACCTCCTAGCCATGCAGTCCCTGTGAGACTTAGGCATTATATTTCATTGTTAAAATCCCATCTTTGTTTGAACTTTCAACTCCCTTGCCTTTCTCTTACCTGATATTATAGGCTGCATGGTGCCCCCCACCCCCAAATTCATATGTTGAAGTCCTAATCCCCAGGACCTCAGAATATGACTGGATTTGGTAATGGGATCTTTAAAGAGGTAATTAAGTTACAATGACATCATTAGGGTGGGCTCTAATCCAATATAACTGGTGTCATTATAAAAGGAGAAAATTTCAACACAGATGTGTGGACACACAAGGGAAAGTCCATGTGAGGACACAGCAAGAATGCAGCTATTTATAAGCAAAGAGGGGTCTCCAGGGAAATCAACCCCCTGACACCAGGATCTCCAGGTCTGTGAGAACATAATTTCTGTTGTTTTATCATGGCAGCCCTGACAAACCAATACACAGGCAAACCCCAACCCCGTCAAATCCAACTCTGCCTACTTTTTCTTTTCTTTTTTTAGTTTTTAAGTTTTATTTGCTCTTTTGTATAGTCTCTTCACTCAGTGACTCAAATGGAAGACAACTGTGACAAACTTTTTCCCAGACCTGGTGTATGCAACTTAATCCAAGTGAGTACATTTTGGCTTCTTGTTTTTCTTGGAAGGAAAAAAAAAGAAAAGGGTTCATTGGAGCTCAGCTTTTGAAGACAGGCAGATACAATTTGGATCTTCTGAATAGGAGGGCAATTTGTGCAGAGAGAGGATGTCCACAGCATAAGCCAAGGAACAAACAGGTTAATGAAGATGCATTTCAAAGAGTCTGGAGTAACTGAAAGTGAATCCATTTGCCTAATATAAGGGAAGAGGATTATAAAAATAAAAATTCACAGTTGTGCTGAAGACTCATATTGTGAGAGTTTTGAATGCCAGATTAGAGAGTTTGGATATTATTCTGTGATGCATAAAGAATCTCTGGAGGTTTATGAACGGTAGCATCATGATCAGGTCTATGCTCAATAAAAATAATCTTCCAGGACTATGGAGAACGTATTAGGTGGTGAGGAGATTAGAAAACGAGATGCCATTTAAGAAGCTACTTCAGCAATGAGCTACTTGAGGACTGAGACAAAGAAGGTCCAAATTAGGTATTTAGCAATAAAGACACAAAGGAGGAAAAGACGCAAAGGGTATCGCTATGAAAACATTGACCGATCTTGGTTGTGGAAGACAAGGACAACAATGAACCAATAATAAATATGTGGGAAAAGAGAAAAAAGTAGCTGTATATTGGCATTACTCATTTTTTTTTCTGAATGGCATCCTATACTAGCATTGTATATGTGTTCACATAAAACTTTTGGACTTCAATTCGTTTATCAACTCTGCCTACTTTTGCTGTTTCTTCTAAGCCGATGCGGTGGCTAGATAAAACGCACCAGTGAGGACTGACTTTAACTTCCTGACCTCTTGATGACACCCTGAAACCTCTCACATTTCCCACTCCATCCA